TTGTTACCCAGGCTGGAGTGCAATGGTGCGATCTCGGCTCACCGCAACCTCCGCCTCCTGGGTTCAGGCAATTCTCCTGCCTCAGCCTCCTGAGTAGCTGGGATTACAGGCACGCTCCACCATGCCCAGCTAATGTTTTGTATTTTTAGTAGAGACGGGGTTTCACCATGTTGACCAGGATGGTCTCGATCTCTTGACCTCGTGATCCACCCGCCTCGGCCTCCCAAAGTGCTGGGATTACAGGCTTGAGCCACCGCGCCCGGCCCTACCTTGCCCTTTTTAAATGGCTGCAGAATATTCCTCAGACTCAGTGTACAACAATTTATTTAATACTTCCCTTCTAATGGATAATGGGTCTGTAGTTACCCATTATGACTGAAGTTCAGGAAATATCCTTATAAATGCATCTTTGGACACAGGAGCAGGATATGTGACTACTTTTGTAGGTTACATTCCCACAAGTAGAATTGCTTGTCCAATCGGGATACGTTTGCTAAGACTAGTTACAGTCAACCTTTAAAATTTTTGCCAATCTAAATGGTTTTCAAATAATTTTTGAGATTGGTTGCATCACAGCAGGGTATCTGAAAAAGCCTTCTGGGAGTTAGTGAACTAGGTAGATCGTTTTGTTCACATAAAGCCACCGTCAACTTAATTTAAAGTGAATAGTCTGTTATAGATGAGGTCACTATGGACTTACCCTAACCATCTTCTGTATTTCTCTCCTCCAGAGGACAAATGATAAGTACTACGTACCTCATCTCTTGGGTTACTATTGTAATCTTGCATTCATGATTATGAATTTAAAAGTAAATACTAATTATGGAAATAGAAAAAAATGTTTTGCCAATATGACAGATGAAAAATATTATTTAAAGTATCTTTTAAAAAATGTAGTTTTTGGCTGGGCATGGTGGCTTATGCCTGTAATCCCAGCACTTTGGGAGGCCAAGGTGGGCAGATCACTTGAGGTCAGGGGTTTGAGATCAGCCTGACCAACATAGTAGAGCCCTGTCTCTACTAAAAATACAAAAATTAGCCAGGTGTGATGGTGGGCATCTGTAATCCCAGCTACTTTGGAGGCTGAGGTACGAGAATCACTTGAACCTAGGAGGCAGAGGTTGCATCTCGCCACTGCACTATAGCCTGAGTGATAGAGTGAGACTCAGTCTCAAAAAAAATGTAGTTTTCTGGCTGGGTGCAGTGGCTCGTGCCTATAATCCCAGCCAGCACTTTGGGAGGCTGAGGTAGGCGAATCACCTGAGGTCAGGAAGTCAAGACCAGCATGGCCAAAATGGCGAAACCCCATCTCTACTGCAAATACAAAAATTAGCCTGGTGTGGTGATGTGCGCCTGCAGCCCCAGCTACTCGGGAAGCTGAGGCAGGAGAATTGCTTGAATACCTGTGGTGGAGGTTGCAGTGAGCCGAGAGCATGCCGTTGCAGTTTAGGCTGGGCAACAAAGCGAGACTTTGTCTAAAAAAAAAAAAAAAAAAAAAGTAATTTTCTGGGTCTTGCTTTTTCTACTTTTATTCCTTAAGTATTTTTCTGTATATCAACTAATAGTGAAATGGAAATGATTGTAATCAAATATATATTTGTACATAACATGATCATCTGTGTGTTTGTGCATTTATCCTTCTACATCTTCAGTTACTTCTTTAGGCCAAATGCCTAGTAGTAAAGTCATTTTATGAGATCTAATATTTATTTAGGTTTCCTCAAGTTTCTTTTTTTTTTGAGACGGAGTTTCCCTCTTGTTACCCAGGCTGGAGTGCAATCGCGATCTCGGCTCACCGCAACCTCCACCTCCTGGGTTCAAGCAGTTCTCCTGCCTCAGCCTCCCAAGTAACTGGGACTACAGGCGTGTGCCACCATGCCCAGCTAATTTTTTGTATTTTTAGTAGAGATGGGCATGTTGACCAGGATGGTCTTGATCTCTTGACCTCATGATCCACCCGCCTCGGCCTCCCAAAGTGCTGGGATTATAGGCGTGAACCACCGCACCCGGCCCTCCTCAAGTTTCTTTACTATGGTTAATCAATATCCCAAGTTCTACGCCATGTACTTTAGATTTTTGTGCTTTGGGTGGGTATTCACGATTTCCCCAATTTTCAGAATTTTTGCCCTTTTTTTTTTTTTTTTTAAAGGCAGGGTCTTGCAATGTCACCCAGGCTGGAGTACAATGGCACAATCATGGCTCACTGCAGCCTTGACCTCCCAGGCTCAAGTGGTCCTCCCACCTCAGCCTCCTGAGTAGCTGGGACCACAGGCGTACACCACCACACCCAGCTAATTTTTTTTTTGTAGAGATGGGTTCTCACTTGTTACCGAGGCTGGTCTTGAATTCATGGGCTGAAGCAGTCGAACTGCCTCAGCTCCCGAAGTGCTGGAATTATAGGCATGAGCTACCATGCCTGGCCTATCTTGGGTATTTCTCCATGTATTCCAGGGTACTTTTCCTGGAAGTCCTCTAAGACAGCTGCTCAAATGGGCTGATTGTTCTTTCTCTGTCTGTTTTCCTTGAGAAAATGCTGATGAATAAACTTCTCTCCCTCATCACAGATGGAAAATAATGTTCCTATCTTTTTAAACAAAGAAAGTCACTAGAATTTAGTACACTGTGACTGAGAACCAAGTCTCCTTGCTTGATGCTTAACATGCATTTCTTGCAGATTTGTTTGATGCTTTGAATTCAGTATTATTGACGTTTGTCTCTATTTTTTTCCAGGTGAATGTTGGATGTGTACCCAAAAAGGTAGAATTTTTCTCAATCCTTTTTCTATTTGGTACATCATAATCTGAATAAGAATGTTTCCAAATATATCAGTTAAAATTCTTTCTGCAGAAAAACCCTGAGACCCCACTAAAAGTGGCTTAAGCTATAGTATTGTTTTTGTTTGATTTGTGGTTTTAATTTTTTTTTTTTTTTTTTGAGACGGAGTTTCACTCATGTTACCCAGGCTGGAGTGGAATGGCGCGATCTCGGCTCACCGCAACCTCCGCCTCCCGGGTTCAGGCAATTCTCCTGCCTCAGCTTCCTGAGTAGCTGGGATTACAGGCACGCACCACCATGCCCAGCTAATTTTTTGTATTTTTTTAGTAGAGACGGGGTTTCACCATGTTGACCAGGATGATCTCGATCTCTTGACCTCGTGATCCACCCGCCTCGGCCTCCCAAAGTGCTGGGATTACAGGCTTGAGCCACCGCGCCTGGCTTAATTTTTTTAATATTTATTTATTTTTTGAGATGGCCTCTCACTCTGTCACCCAGGCTGGAGTGCAATGGCACGATATCAGCTCATTGCCACCTCCACATCCGGGTTTAAGCAATTATCCTGCCTCAGCCTCCCAAGTAGCTGGGATTATAGGTGCCCATCACTATGCCCAGCTAATTTTTGTATTTTTAGTATAGACTGGGTTTCACAGTGTTGGTCAGGCTGGTCTCGAACTTCTGACCTCAGGTGATCCACCTGCCTCAGTCCCCCAAAGTGCTGGGATAACAGATGTGAGCCACTGCACCTGGCCAGTTTTTTTTTTTTTTAATTCCTTATTTTTATTGATTGATTGATTGATTGATTGAGATGGAGTCTCACTCTGTCTCCCAGGCTGGAGTGTAGTGGCTCCATCTCAGCTCACCACAGTCTCTGTCTCCCGAGTTCAAGCGATTCTCACGAATCAGACTCCTGAGTAGCTAGGATAACAGGTGCCTGCTACTACACCCGGCTGATTTTTGTATTTTTAGTAGAGATGGGGCTTCACCATGTTGGCCAGGCTGGTCTCGAACTCCTGAGCTCAGGTGATCCACCCACCTCGGCCTCCCAAAATGCTGGGATTACAGGCATGAGCCTCCAAGCTCAGCCATGGCCTGGTAATTTAGTTTGGTCATCTATACCACAGGATAGTTTTTTTCTCAGCAGGAAGACCCAGCCAACAAACCAAACTGTTGAATCCAATACTCTTACATTCTGTGGGCTCATGGATTTTCTGTATCATGTTAGTGATTTTTTTGGTATTAACATCTGTGGTGCAGGTCACATTGAATGAATTCATTTTGTTATCCTTGACAAAGAGGAAGAAACAGCAACTCTTATTTCTAAAGCTGCCTCTTGCTTATACTTGCAAAGAATTTTACCTCTCATTTGAATGTACTTTCAACATGTTATAATCTCAAGCTTACCACCTTTGTTAATGACATTCCATTTTAAATTGTCATCTTTTTGGTATTATGTAAGCAAATCTCCTAATCTCATCAGTGATGCATACCTGAGTTTAATTCCAAGAAGCTTTTTTGAAATCCGCTCCCTGGTATAGGTAGATGTTTTTTCTTTCTGTCTTAGGAAGACTTTTTTTCTCTGGGATATTTTCCCTCAACTATTTCCTTTCCTATTAGTCATAGTTTTTGGAACCTATTTTACTTGGAGCCATGCAATTATGACAGTATTAATTATATAAATTAATTATAAGGTGGTTTCACATAGTTTAAACTAGTTATGGTAGTAAATTTTGTGTTGACTGGTACAAGTTTATTTTTTTGAAAAGATACCACTGGGCTACTACTGCACAGTAAACTGATTTTTTTTTTTTTTTTTGAGATGTAGTTTTGCTCTTGTTGCCCAGGTGGGAGTGCAATGGCACAATCTTGGCTCACTGCAACCTCTGCCTCCCGAGTTCAAGGATTCTCCTGCCTTAGCTTCCCGAGTAGCTAGGATTACATGCGTGCATCACCGTGCCTGGCTATTTTTTTTGTATTTTTGGATTTGGGATTTCACCATGTTGACCAGGCTAGTCTTGAACTCCTGACCTCAAGCGATCTGCCTGCCTCAGCCTCCAAAGTACTGGAATTACAGTACTGGAATTACAGGCATGAGCTACCACACCCAGCCTTTTTTTTTTTTTTTTTTTTTTTTTTAGACAGAGTTTTGCTTTTGACACCCCGGGTGGAGTGCAATAGCACGACAACTCACCGCAACCTCTGCCTCCCGGTTCAAGCAATTCTTCTGCCTCAGCTTCTAGAGTAGCTGGGATTACAGGCACCCACCACCAAGCCTGGCTAATTTTTCATATTTTTAGTAGAGATAGGGTTTCCCCATGTTGACAGGCTGATTTCCTGACCTCAGGTGATCTGCCCACCTGGGCCTCCCAAAGTGTTGGGATTACAGGCATGAGCCACTGCGCCCGGCCAGTAAACTGATTTTGTAATGTTTTGTTCTAACATACTATGTTTTACTTATTTCTTCTGATCACATGTTGTAGACATTTATATATGTTTTTGTTTCTTTTTTTTTTTTTTTTTTGAGACGGAGTCTCACTCTTGCCCAGACTGGAATGCAGTGGTGTGATCTTGGCTCACTGAAACCTCCATCTCCCAGGTTCAAGTGATTTTCCTGCCTCAGCCTCATGAGTAGCTGGGACCACAGGCTTGCACCACCATGCCCAGCTAACTTTTTTTTTGGTTTTTGGTTTTTGGTTTTTTTTTTTTTTTTTGAGATGGGGTTTGGCTCTGTAGCCCAGGCTGGAGTGCAGTGGCGCAATCTTGACTCACTGCAACTCTGCCTCTTGGGTTCAAATGATTCTCCAGCCTCAGCCTCCCAAGTAGCTGGGATTACAGGAATGCACCACCATGCCTGGCTAATTTTTGTATTTTTAGTAGACACAGGATATTTTCACCATGTTAGCCAGGCTGGTCTCAAACTCCTGGCCTCAAGTGATCTGCCTGCCTCAGCCTCCCAAAGTGCTGGGATTATAGGTGTGAGCCACTGTGCCCTGCTTTTTTGTATTTTTATCAGAAACGGGATTTCACCGTGTTAGCCAGGATGGTCTCAAACTCCTGACCTCATTTGTCCTCCCAAAGTGCTGGGATTATAGGCATGAGCCCCTGTGCCTGGCCTTGTTTTTGTTTCTTTTTAGTCTGTTTTTAATATCTTTCCCCTTTTCTCTTAAAAAAAAATTCTATCCAAATCATGGCACGTACACAAAAAATTGTTAGCCAGGTGCAGTGGCTCATGCCTGTAATCCCAGCACTTTGGGAGGCCAAGGCAGGCAGATCACGAGGTCAGGAGTTCGAGACCAGCCTGACCAACATGGTGAAACCCTGTCTCTACGAAAAATACAAAAATTAGCTGGGTATGGTCTCATGCGCCTGTAATCCCAGCTACTCAGGAGGCTGAGGCAGGAGAATTGCTTGAACTCGGGAGGTGGAGGTTGTAGTGAGCAGAAATTGTACCACTGCACTCCAGCCTGTGCAAAAGAGCAAGACTTTGTCTCAAAATAATAAATAAATAAATAAATAAATAGTTTTAAGTTAGCAAGATGTAGTAGATTTTATTTATTATTATTTTTTTTGAGACCGAGTCTCTCTGTCATTCAGGCTGTAGTGCAGTGGTGTGATCTCGGCTCACTGCAGTCTCTGCTCTCAGGGTTCTAGTGGTTCTCGCACATTAGCCTCCAAAGTAGCTGGGACTACAGGTGTGCGCTGCCATGCCTGGCTAATTTTTGTATTTTCAGTAGAGATAGGATTTTGCCATATTGGCCAGACTGGTCTCAAACTCTTGACCTCAAGTGATCCACCTGCCTTGGCTTCCCAACGTGCTGGGATTACAGGTGTGAGCCACTGTGGCCAGCCAGGTTTGTTTTTAATTTAAAGGGCAGTATTTTTATCTGCTGTTACCTAGTTACCATTCATTTATGACTCCTTCTTTCCCTGAGGACTCATGCCCTGCTGTTTTGGATCTTTTATTTATTTATTTTTTAAACAGGTAATGTGGAACACAGCTGTCCACTCTGAATTCATGCACGATCACGGTGATTATGGCTTTCCAAGTTGTGAGGGTAAATTCAATTGGCGGTAAGTGTCAACACTCAGAGGGTTCAGTTTCCAAGTGTAGATATCTTTCTTTCATAACTAAGTGAGCCATAAACTTTTTTAGGGATGGGGGAGGAATTGTGGTAAATATTCACAATATGAGATTTACAGTTTAGCCATTTTTAAGTACACAATTGAGTGCCATTAAGCACATTCACATTGTTGTACAGTTGTCACCGCTATCACCACTATCCACTTCCAGAACTTTTCTGCCACCCCAAACAGAAACTCAACCCATTAAACACTAACTCCTTATTCTTTTCTCTCCCTGGCCCCTGGGAACCTCTATTCTGCTTTCTGTCTCTGTGAATTTGCCAGTTTTAGGAACCTCATAAAGGTGGAATTATACAATATTTGTTCCCTTATGTCTTGTGTGTTTTGTTTTCATGGTTTGTCCATGTTGTAGCATGTATCAGAACTTCATTTGTTTCTTTTTATTTTTTTTTTTTGAGACGGAGTTTCACTCATGTTACCCAGGCTGGAGTGCAATGGCGCGATCTCAGCTCACCGCAACCTCCACCTCCTGGGTTCAGGCAATTCTCCTGCCTCAGCCTCCTGAGTAGCTGGGATTACAGGCACACGCCACCATGCCCAGCTAATTTTTTGTATTTTTAGTAGAGATGGGGTTTCACCATGTTGACCAGGATGGTCTCGATCTCTTGACCTCGTGATCCACCCGCCTCGGCCTCCCAAAGTGCTGGGATTACAGGCTTGAGCCACCGCGCCCGGCCTGTTTCTTTTTTTTTTTTAAAGACAGGGTCTTGCTGTGTTGCCCACACTGGAGTGGAGTGGTGCAATCATAGCTTAATGCATTCTTCAGCTCCAGGGCTCAAGCTATCCTCCCACTTCAGCCTCCTGAGTAGCTGGGACAACAGGCATGTGTCACCATGCCTGCCTGATTTATTCTTATTTTTATTGTTTTTAGTAGAGATGAGGTCTCACTGTGTTGCCCAGGCTGGTCTCCAACTCCAGAGCTGAAGCGATCCTCTTGCCTCAGCCTCCCAATGTGCTGGGATAATAAGTGTGAACCACTGCGCCTGGCCTTCATTCCTTTTTGAGGCAAATATTTCATCATGTGGATAAAACCACATTTTGTTTATCCATTCATTCGTTAATGACTTTTTGAGTTGTTTCTACCTTTTGGTTATTGTGAGCAATGCTGCTATGGACATTCGTGTACAGGTGTTCAGGTCTCTGCTTCCAGTTTTTTTTTTGGGTCTGTACTTAGAAATGGAATTGCCAGGACATATGGCAGTTGTGTGTTTAACTGTTTAAGGAACTGCTGTAAATCTTTTGAAGCCATAAAAGTTTTGAAGAAATTTAGCAAATTTATTTATTATTTAATTTTTGAGACAGAGTTTCGCTCTTGTTACCCAGGCTAGAGTGCAGTGGCACCATCTCAGCTCGCCACAACCTCCACCTCCCGGGTTCAAGCAATCCTCCTGCCTCAGCCTCCTGAGTAGCTGGGATTATAGGAATGCGCCACCACACCTGGCTAATTTTGTGGTGTTAGTAGAGACGAGTTTTTCCATGTTGGTCAGGCTGGTCTCGAACTCCCAACCTCAGGTGATCTGCTCGCCTCGGCCTCCCAAAGTGCTGGGATTATAGGCATGAGCCACCACACCCGCCCAGCAAATTTATTTATTTAACAAATATTTATTAAGTGGCTACCACGTCCTAGGCACACCATGTCCAAGGCATTGTGCCAAAGCATTTATCCTTGTCTTCTGTGCAGAAAGACCATGCCAACCGAGTGCGTTCTCTACTGAGTGGCACAGAGGCTTTTAACACATGGGCAGCAGAATGACACAGGGAAGGGATGACTGTCTTTGGAGACACTCACTGCAGTTCCTGTTGACAGTGATTCTCTGCTCTGGGTGTTCAGAGACAGATGCTTTAGTTAACTAACTGGAGGTGGAAGATCCTGTTTCTGAGTACTGACTTGGTTTCATTGCAGTGTTATTAAGGAAAAGCGGGATGCCTACGTGAGCCGCCTGAATACCATCTATCAAAACAATCTCACAAAGGTGTGTATGTTGGGTTTTTAACTTTGAGAATGAGCTGTTCCCTTCTTGAGTAGTCAACCAAGTCTTGCCTAACTGTAGCCCTATTGATTGATTGATTGATTATTATTATTGTTGTTGGGTTTTTTTTTTTTTTGCGACAGAGTCTCGCGCTCTCTCCAGGCTGGAGTGCAGTGGCACGATCTGGGCTCACGGCAACCTCTGCCTCCCTGGTTCATGTGATTCTCCTGCCTCAGCCTCCGGAGTAGTTGGAACTGCAGGTGCACACCACCGCACCCAGCTACTTTATATATATGTATATATATTTTTTTGAGATGGAGTCTTGCTCTGTTGCCAGGCTGGAGTACAGTGGCGCAAACTCGGCTCACTGCAACCTCTGCCTCCCAGGTTCAAGCAATTCTCCTGCCTCAGCCTCCCAAGTAGCTAGGATTATAGGTGTGCAC